GCAACGGATGGCCCCAGAACTAGGCGAGCGAGAGGCACTCTGGATCGCTTCAAATGCGACTGTTGTAGGGATCGAAAAGTGAAGGTGAGCTGATACTACTTTAATCACTTGTGAGATTTCGTTTACATTGTACCTGTGGTTCTTCAGGAGTACAGCATCTCACGAATAGCTGTGAGCCCGTGCTTTGGCGCTTATAGAAGTTGCAAATCTGCCTCCAAGTATTCCATGAACCAGTGCCCCATATCGTCTTGCCCCCGTCCCAAAGCAGTTACATCCTCTACCGGGTGCTTCCCTTCTTTATCATCCCGTCCCCGGTGCATTTGCTTGTCCTTTTCCTGAAACCTATAATTATTTCAAGGCTAATACAACAATTCAGTGCACGCCGCCAGGAAGGGAGTGGCCAGAAAAGTGCGATCAGTCAACTGGTGCAAGAAAATGGACAAAAATTGCTCCGCACCCAAGGCGGCCGACCGCACCAGAAACCGAGGGGCCAGAGCAGCCCAGCAGATCCCTATGGCACCTGCTATCTCTGAGATTGCAGGCTTCATAGGCCATCCTATCGAACCGGCTGTCGATCTACAAGAACGCAATATCAGTTATCAAGACCTGTAAGTTGGGCTCATGGGGGAGACTGGGACATATACTGACACCGCTTAAGGAGAGATGCCGTCGTGCTGTTACGCCTCCATTCCATAGAACTTGCCGTGATTGAATTACAGAAAAACGAGCTCCTGGACAACATAGGTAAGGGCTTATGGAACATAAATTGGGCTAAACATGTCGGTGCTGCCAATAAATTCAGGTGGAGACTATCCCTGTATATCAACAAGCTTTTCAAAACATCAAGCTTGTCTCCAGCCGAACAGATGGGACTCTACTCTGTCAGCTTCTCTCCGACACTGAGGAATCTACCGCGGTACCTAACAGCTTGACGAACGTGGTAGCTGAGGAAAAGTATATATTGGAGGTAGCAAAAACCATGATCCAGTCCAAAGACATTGGTGGCGCTATAACCTTGCTACACCGATCATTCCGGAAATATGGATATAATCCAGGAAATGATTCGCAGTCAGATTCACCGGAGCGCCAAATTCTCCCAATGTTACTCCGCCACGGAGCAGAGTTTACTCAACGGATGACTGGGATCTTGCAAGCACTCGACGACCACACACCCGAAATAGGAGTATTCGACTGGGAAGATTTGGAATTTCTTGCAGACCCTGCCGTGGTGAATCTGCCGCATAGTATATATGCTGGAATCCACTATGCGGAAGAGAGATCTATACGCATGTCCTTTGTCTGGCCTTAGATTAGGCAGGAAATGCTAGAAGAGTGGGACAAGACACAACAAATTCACAGCCTCCAGGATCCGGAAAAACTACTTGATCTATTTTTCGAATTGTATGAATACAGCTTCAAAGACAAGAGTTCTCACTCCTATCTACATGTTGCTATCATAACAGGTTACGATTGCGAGGTCCTTGAAGCTGCTAAAAAGGTGTTGATGTATGAGGTGGACGACAGCCATTTAGAGTGTGTTGCCGGAGATCCCAAGAGCAAGGATGATTGGCTTCAAATGATTACTCCTCTGGCATATGCTGCTGCTTTTGGGTTGGAAAGGACCTTCACCTATCTCTTCACTTGTCGTGAGGGGTATGTATCAAACCAAGGATTGGATGCTCCGTTATACAGGGCCATGTTGCTTGCCGCTAAAAATGGCATGCTGGCTATAGTCCGACTGCTGTTGACAGTCCCAGATGGCGACACGGAAAGAAGACAGCGGCGGCTTATTAAAGCGCGTGACATTGCCAAGGAATCTGACCAGCACGAGGATGTCGGGCTGATTGAAGACGCAATAGGCGAAGCGGGTTGAAGACCCCTCCAGTAACTCTGATGGCCCGTAGGGCAAGGACCTTCGTCGAGGTTCATTATATCAGTGAATCACCTGGGCAGTGGCAGTTCATATGGTTCGTTTGAAAGGATTTTTGACTCATGATCACTTTTTCCCTATCCAGGTCGAGGAATTTCTCTTATAGTTATAGATACCATCATATTGTTGATACTCGACTGATAGTTCTGCTGCCCGTACATACTATCTGTTAAAGACCGTTCCAGTCGTGTGACATACCCAATGTATATAACCGTACAATAGCGCCTAATTGCCCACGTGTATATCAGTCACCGGTAAATTGTGGTTGAGAATTGTGCTTGATATTTTCCGGCTTTGCAATGGGCAAAAGCTCGGAAGCATGAGAGACCTCTAAATACTACTCACTCCACGTTCATTAACAAATTAGCAGGAAAAGATGAAGAGGCGCTCTCCGATAACCCTTGGGAATCCAACTGATTCACGAGAGAAGCAGCACAGCACCACCGCAGTTCCCAGAATCAGAAGAAAGCTTGTCAGCCATTGAGCCCAATACCGGGACTCGGAAGCAAGGGGTCCACGTCACCGAGCTCAACCGCCATCTGAGAGACTGTCTTAGTCATCACAACTCACACTCACCTTCGATACCACACCAAACCTCAACCGCGAAAATTGAAGCATCACCATCAACATCAACATCAATTTCAACCTCAGCAATAAAAAAAGTGCAAAAGAAGAGGCGATCATCGCCGGGAATTGAGCCCGACGTGGGGGTCGAACCCACAACCTTGAGATAATATCAGAACCGAGAGGCTCATAAGAGTCTCACGCTCTACCGATTGAGCTAGCCGGGCGTCTCGAAAGACGCTTGATCTGTTGGTGGAGCGTGGATGGAAAGAGTTTTATCAAGAGAGATATGGAATGAGTCAACGGCATGAGTCCTGGTGCTGAAAAGTTGATGGTTGGCGTTGAGGTGGGCCCCTGACTCGTCAACTGGTTCGGAAGAAGAGCGAGGCAGTTATAGTCGAGGACGACCTTAGGTAGTTACTGGTAGGATCCTGGGGTAATGGATGAGTGCTGCGGCCGGGGGCATTGCGAAGGTCGAGAACCTATACGTTCTGTGGATTGGTTCCCCCCATCTGGCCGCAATGATAATTCCCATATTAGATAGTCTATAGACGAATTGCGATGTTGTTATGTCAACTCCTCCCAAGGCCATGTCCAATAATGTACCATTCCGGCCAGTATGTCAGTACCATGGTTACTGATACTTACTTGAGGTATGAGAGACACAACTTTATATATACCTATTCACAAACCGTATCAAATCTCTTGCCGTCGTGCTTGGTTTGCGTTACTAAAAGTCCCGAGGGGGGTCGTCTGCTCTGAATGCATTACTGATGAATGTCGTTGATAGGGTTAGGGCTGAGATTGACAGGGTTAGGACCTGGAAGGGCCCACTTGGCCCCAGGGCTTGTATAACACGCAATTGGCCGGGCTGAGTTGCTCATTCCAGCACGGATCATCCCGCGGGCTGGGCAGGCCGGGCAGGATGACGTCTGCGGGGCAACTAACCAATCGCCTACCAGGTGTCAGCGTTAGCAGGTGCAAGCGGGGCGAACGTGCCAGACGTGCCAGTCCCAGTGCCAGCGTTCCAAGGTTTGCCCGGGGCCTGCCTGCCTGACCGCACTTGACTGCTTGAGCACCTCGGTCCGTCGTTTGTTTCTAACCTATAACCTTCCCAACCACCGAATGCTCCCATATCACAGCTCATAAACGAACCATCACCATGGCTTCGCGGGGAGTTTCCGCCCTCAAGTTTGTCGGCACCGTCTCGCTGGGTCTGCTGACGGTGAGCTCACCTTTCCTTGATCTCCGACGATAAGCTTCTATCGGTGTCCCATCGTCAACCCTGCTGCATTGGGCACGGAACCATGGAGACGATAGATGATCTGATACCCTGATCTGTCACCGCCAAACGCCATCATGGTTCCTTTCTACAGTTGTTCCTCATCACACCTTTGGTCTGCCAGATGCTAATAATCCGCTCTCCCCTATAAACAGGGCCTATCATACACCCTCTCGACCCTCACAGTCCCGACCCTCCTCACCCTCCCATCCGCCAGCACAGCCGCGAATGCCTTCCGCTCCCTGACCACCACCGCGAGGACGCACCTCCGCACCCTCGCGGGCGTCTCGAGCACCGCCTTCCTCCTGGCCTTTGCCCTGTCCCCCCGGCCCACCCGCCACCCCTACCTGCTCTACACGTCCACGCTGATCGCGCTCTCCCGCCTCGCCGTCTCCGACTTCGTCGCCCCGTACCTGTACGCCCAGCCCCGCCAGGCCTCGTCGTCTCAGAGACAACAACAGTCATCGTCCGCTAGCCGGAAGGACCGGTCCGCCGCCCGCCGCATGGAGGCGAGCTACGACGTCATCGGCTCCGACGTGCACAGCGAGGCCACGCTCGACTCGGCGAGTGACAGGAGCGTCGAGGAGGAGCAGGTGGCGACGGACGGGAGCGTCAACGGCGAGGAGGTCCGTGGCGAGGTCGAGGCCTTCCTCAAGAAGCAGGTCGTCTCCACGGCCACGGCTGGCCTGGGCTTCCTGCTGGCCGTCGTGGGCATCTGGGGGGATGGAGCCGGGACTGTCGTCAAGGTTCACCACTATTAAGTGGGCTGGCTGATGCTGGCTCGACGGTGGAGGTTGGCCTGTGTGGTTGACTACTACTGAATTCGGGTACTTATGTTATTTGCCGGAGGAGTAAATGCTGTAGGCTTGTTCGAGTCCGACAAGGAGGATTGTTTGTCTTGGTTTGAGGTGTACTTCAGTGTCCCTGCTCCCTTCTATTCTAGCCTTCCACGGACATACATTCTTACGTACGATGTGAATGATACTGGGTTGGAATTGGAGCTGTCTTGATTGATATCCCGTCACCAATGTCACCTGGCGCGTGCGACTTAGGCCTGATCTGCGTAGATCATCTAGATTTCACTTACACCACGATTGGGGTGGGACCAGAGGCCACCAAGCATAGATAGACCCACCGAGCCTCCTCTAGGATTTGCCCGAAGCTTATACTATATGGTCCATGCAGAGTCCTGAACATCACCAAGAGAAAAATACAAAAAGATATTGCGACGATCGGGGTTCGAACCCGAGTCTCCTCCTGAACACCTATGTAAATTGGGAGGGAGGTGAGTTCACCACTACTCTATCGACGCCAATGTTGTCTGTGTTGAGCTTTGGTAGGCAGGTACGCATATAACGGTGTACCTCCTGGAGGTCAAGTTGCTGTCTGGCGGTGGGTAGACGGCTGGGTACAGCAGGTCGACGTCAGGAGGCCGGCACGTGGCCGGCAAGCTGCTGGGCTCGAGACGATGCTGAGACAGAGCAATGAAGATGAGGCCGCAGCAGTGAGTGGTGGATATGCAAGGTTGCAAACGAGCAGCCGACCTCATCCCTGGATCAATCCTGGTCGAGGCGAGCCTTGCTTTTTGAGCAATATGCTTTGCATTATCACGCACACCACTAGGATGATTACACCCAGAAGGAGCTCTTATAATAAATGACTTCCTTGAACCATTGACTCTCTCACTCGACCTTCAAATGTTATCCTTGAGGATGAGAGAGGCATGATAGACTACTTGTATAGAAACTCATTAGAGTAGGAAATTCGGAAAGCTGTCGACACAAGTATCACGGTCAAGGCAAGGTCAAGTTTGCGATTTTCTTAACTCAAGATCTTTGATGGACATCAATTGATTGATAGCCAGTGCTGGTACCGAGAATAGCCCTCTTGGCAGGGCCATTCTTGTTTGTAAGAGATCGCCTCGAAAAGCTCGAATAACATTCTCTTTGATAAAACCCTGAAGAGATGTCTCACTTACTAGATCACAATAGCTGTATGCTGGGTTCACAAGTTAAACTTCATCTGCTAATGACACGTCTTCATCGCAGCGGTTAACATGAAAGTCAACACATATTAGGAAGATAGAAGTCAAAAATTTTGAGGACAGGTCCATTCACCCGCAGAGCCTTCAGACTGCTTCTTAATTTGACTAGGCCGTTCGTCAGTCGGCACGGGAACTGGCCTAGAAACATTTTTCTTCTCTTGCTGTATCTGGATCTCGCCTGATTGATGCGGTTTTGTACTTAAGTACATAGTCCTCCAAGTTCATTCTCCCCTTAATAAATGTACTGGAGTTTCACTAATCCCCAATACACTGGTTCTTGATCAACCTTGATAGTCTTGGGCCATGAATAAGTAAGATTCATCGACAAAAGTAACACTAGAGCACCTCGTCTTTATGTAGACCAACAATTCCTCGGAGCTCAATCTTGGATCAGATATCAAAATAAGGACTATGATCGTGATCCACCTCAGCTTCGAATGTCAACCACACCGCTGTGATATTGAGTGCAGCCAAGTAGCCTTCCAGAAAGATGGCCTCCGGACTTTGATCCAGGCTTTGTGTAGGTATCCCAGGATACCTTCTGACGTTGTTCGGCGTGTCTGAGTGTTAAAGATCGAGGAGTATATGGAACATATATGAAGGACACTCAACATACATATGCTCAAGACCTGGCAGACCCTTCACTTTAACAGAGAATCAAATGACACATCAGAGAGTCCTGTGTAGCATCGGCTAATTTGAAAAGCCCCGAATATAGTAGCCTTTTGCGGGCTTAGATATATTTCCGGGGGAAATCTCGGAAGGGCGTAGTCAATTCATACTCGTAATATATCAACATGAAGAAACGACATTCTCGAAAGCCACAGTCCAGCTACAATCCTCAAGCCCAAAGCAAATCAATAGTTTATCAGCCAACACACCCACCACCATCCCCCTCCCGCTCCCGCTCCCTCACCACCCACCTCTCATAAGCAACCCTCTCATCCTCCCTCTCATCAAACCCACACCGCCCAACCGCACACGCCCAGGGCTTCCGTCCAGGCACCGACATCCCCCTCCAACCCGTCGTAACATCCTCCCTCGATACGAGCCCCCACCCACACACCGGGTTCCCCGCCTCCACGCCCCGGCCGTCCGCCCAGCAGATGAACTGGCCCTTGGGGGCGGTAGCTTCCGCGCACCGGTGGCACGCGAAGTACTGGCGGTTGGGGTTGTGCCTGTTGGAGGGGGACGGTGCGGTAATTAGGGGTAGACCTCGTCGCCTTGCTTGCAGGTGCGGCAGAGGAGTTTGGCGGTCTTGAAGTAGGGGTGGGGGATGTGTGCTGTGACTGTTCGGTTAGTCGGTGGGGGGGGGGGTGGTTTTGGGGGTTATATGTTTACAAGCCCTGGCCAGTGGTTCGATGGGGAATCACCTAGACTTACCTGGTCCTTCTGTCTTCCCGATTTCTCAAGACGTCGTTGACGGTGGTTTTGACCACGACGGGACGGTCTTAGTCCCTGTCATTTCAGGGCTGGATGTTGATTCATTGTTCATACGAGGCCGTCAACAGCGTGGATACGAAGAAGTTTTCTTCTCGAGTCAGGTCTCTGCGGTGGTTCCCAGGTCCCTAGATGTCTGTAGGCGCCCCTACGCATGTCTGGAAATCTGGAGCTGGTAAGTGCTATTGCAACCCACGGTATTATGGTCATTGATCACGCTTCTCGAAGGCCAATGTGCCGTCATAAGCGGTAGAGTGAGTTGACAACTGTTGGGGGTACCCCCGCTTACCTAAGCAGACACTAGCCTTCCCTTCCCTCAGTTACTTCCTTTCCTTTCCAGGGCTCTAGATAGCTACACCTTAGCCAACAACAACACACCCATACGAATTGAATTGACTGTCTGATACCTGATTCTGGCTTGTCTGATCGATTCAGAGTGTGTGAGGCCCTCTACAACAACCCTGCTAAATTACATAGTGGCTAGTACTCAAGCACGCTTCCTTTTCACCGTCAGTCATTCCACGGTACGTGATTTATCGGCCCAATAGTGTTCTGAATATTTGCAGTCGGACTGTTAGCGATCGTCTAGAATGAGAAGAGAATGTCGAGTCGGGGCACTTATACATGGCGCGATACCCGGACCGAGCCGGGTACAGAACATGCATGCACGACATGGATAACGACGCACAGGAAATGCGGTGGAACACATCTGAAATGTAACATGACCTCTTGAATCATTCATAACGAACATGCCTATTTCCTAGAAGAAGGAGGCAGGGTATTCGAAAGATAAATATGCCCAGCAGACCGGTAGCCCTCGGTCCCAATCCCGCACATGTACCGACTCATATCATCCCATCAATATTACCATCAGGACATCTAGACCCAGTCCACATTCCATATCGTATAAATAGCGTCCGTATGCCCGCCCGTTATGCCGTACCCATCCATCCCTTCATGAAACCCGCATATACATCATGTCCTCGTGTCCTCATCATCAGTATCCCGCGAGCTTCTTCCACCAACTGCCACCACCCCCGTTCTTCTGCGCGGTATCATCCATCGTGACGTGCTTCTTCCTGTCATCACTCCCGTCGCCCCTATCCTCCCTTCTCTTCCTGCGCCTGCGCTCCGGGTCGCCTTCAGCGACCTCAACGTCGACTACCCCATCACCGTACTTTCTCCGCCGATGACCTTCACGGCGGGCAGCTGCGCCTGCATCATTCACGTCAACCACAGCCTCTTTGGGGTCCGGAGGCGGCCCGGCACCTATGTGGTCCCTAACCCAGGTCGACGTCCCGAAGTGTGGCCATGCAGACGAGGTAGGCTCGGCCTTCGTTTTAGACGGCTTGTCTTGACCCTCGGTATGCCGGCGGGAGATCTTCGTCGGCCGAGAGTGTGCGAAGTCATCATCAGCCTGCGCGCGCCGACGGGACGTCTTCCCCTCAGCCTCACGAGCTGCGTGCCTTTCAGCACGCCGCCGCCGCCGCTCCTCATCATCTTCGGTATGACGCCGGTCGTGATCACGCTCGCCCTCTCCCGCGCGGGCCTTGTGCCGTTCACGACGCGCAGCCCGACGCGCTTCATCTTCAGCTGCCGTGTCGCCATGAGGAGCGCCTGCCTCACGTTCTCGGTCCCGCCCATGGCGTTTAGACCGTTTGCGTTCTTCCCGCGCTGCTTCCTTCTCCTCAGCCGCCCTGCGGTCATCCTCCTCACGGGCCTTGGCAGCACGACGCTCGGCACGTCGAGCTTCACGCTCAGCCTGGCGCTGTTCCTCTGATTCCCCTTCACGTCTGCGGCGCTTGTCATGACGAGCTTCGTCCTTGGCTGTGCGCGGTGCTTCTGCCGACCTTCCTGCTGCTTCCTTCTCGGCCTTGCGTGCACGACGAGCGGCTTTCCGTTCGGCTTCTGTCATTGCGCCACCGTCCTCAGTGTCATGAGTCGTCCGCCTTTGCGGTTCGGGCCGCGCTTCGGGCCGGGGTGTCGAAAGGAAACCACCAAAAAGACCACCAAAGCCTTTCTTTGCAGATGCACCGGTATTGGAGCGTTTTAGGCCCGGTGCCGGGGTATTACCATTAGCATCAACCATAGGAATATCATCGTCGCGAGGGTATTGCTGTTCAGATGCGTTGTCAGTAAGTGAAGACCCACCGCGACACGTGGGTTGATAAGTGACTCACCTTTGGCCGGCGCCGCGAGGTTGTTTCAGGACCCGGCTCCGCTGCACCGTTAGCGCCAAACATAGCGATATCATCCTTATCGACAGGCTGAGAGCTGTCCTTGCGCTTGCTGCGAGATCGACCTAGACCATCACCGACACCCAGGATTTTTGCAGCCTTGGAGCTAAATATTCCAACGTCCTGCTCGTAAGGCGGTGAGACCATGCCACTTGTCACGTCAGAGGGGCGGCGATATGACCTGTTTTCTCTTTGGTGTTTCTCGCGCATCGACGTCGAACGAGCAATTGGGGGTGTGCTGCTGAACACGCTCATGAGCTTTGGTCGAGGTGGAGCCTCTTTCACTTTCTCCTTGCCACGCTCCACTCTTTCTGCCTTGTCAGAGGATAAGCGAGGAGCCGATGGCCTCCCCTTCTCAGGTGACCGAGAGGTATTCTCCCGCTTCAGCTCGTCGGCATGCTTGGACTGAGATGATGAGGGTTCCTCCTTGCCGCCGGTAAATGGTGTCCAAATGCCCCAGCCCGACCCAGCATTAGCCGCGGTCTGTTCCTTATCTGGTGCATTAGGCACAGGCGGCGGCACAGGGATGGCGCCATCGTTCTTGGATTTAGACGACTTCTTGTCTTTCTTGCTCTTCTGAGTAGCCATATC